TAAATGTAAATGATGTGACTCTCCGTCCTCCTCACTCTCCTCCTCGTGTTATTTTCAGAACTCCTCTAAGCAGACAGGCAGCCTCCGCTCATCACCCATCATTTTCTGCTGTGCATCACAGGGGGGAAGGTCAGTCATTAGCAGCAGCATCCTGGAGCAGAATGCTCTCCAAATATCAGACTCTGTCACTGACATTCCAATCATCTGGCATAAATACAGGGAGTCAGAGGAAAAATAAAAACCAAATTACATCTGATGAGATAATTAAACGAGCTGCAGCTAAATGGCAGCCAAAAAAAACCCGACACAAAAACACAAACAGTGTGCAGTAGAGATGTAGCACAATAGGAAGAGTCAACAGTGAGAGCAGTCAAGATTTGTCTAATTAGATTTAAAAAATGGAAATAGTTTCGAGTGAGCCACAAACACAGAAGTGTAATTTGTAAGCAAAAAAAGTCGAATGAAACATGCTAACAAATAGCCAAAAACATTTCACTATAGTCATTAGCATTAGCAACAAGGTCATAATCATAAATATGGGTTTGACCCAAGAAGAAGAAACTGATTATTATTGGTTGAAGACAAGGTTACCTCAGAAATACAAGATATGTATGAACTATGAAGTTAGCCAATATTACAACAAAACAGCTCATGAAACCTCATGAAAGGAATACACCAACAAAGGTTAGCAGAGCTGGATGTACGTGCTAAAAATAAATAAGAAAGAAGATGAGACAGGAAAATAGCTAAACAACTAGTCAACAGAATTGTTGAGATTATCGTATGAAATAGTTAGCCAAGAGAGAGAAGCAACAGTCAGGAGAAACAGACTGAGTTGGAACACGAGAGTAGCAAATGTTAGCAATGAAGTGGCTAAATATTAGTCCAAGAAAAGAGAAAGGAGCCGCTTAGTATTTTATCAAAATCTAATTAAACTGTGTGAGGAAATGGTTCAAAAAGCTCCAGGAACATGTTTCATACACTGTAGGTGAAATTTAACGGGAATTCTGTCTTATTTTCAATGGACAAAAATGTTTTATTCAACACGTTTACAATCACCTGAAACATAAATTGATGTTTTCATGAGCCGAGAAAAAAAAAAAACCTTTTTAAATCCCAGCCATTTTGAATTACCCCAGTATTACAGTAGCCCACAGTGGACAAACTCAACACCGTCCAGTGTTTGAAGGCTGTCCTACAGTATGTTCTTCTACAGG